GGAAAAAGTCGTCAGGCGTCGGGTGAGTGTGAAAAAGGCTGCTCTCCACAATCAAACCTTGTTCAACGGCAGAGTACCTGTTCCGGAGAAGGGCTTCATGAGTGTAGCAAGTGTGGGAAGGTCACTCAACATAGAAGGGTTCCCACAGGAGGAAAACCGGATATGTACAGTGTTTGTGGGACATGCTTTCACGGTGAAGATTTCCTCATTCCACACCAGAGAGTTCACACCTTAGAAAAGCGTTACGAGTGCAGTGATTGTGGGAAATGCCTTGGCTATAAAATTGATCTCATTCGACACCAGAGAATTCATACTGGTGAAAAACCATATCAGTGTAGTGATTGTGGGAAGTCCTTCAGACAAAGCTGTGCCCTCATTCAACACAAAAGAATTCACACTGGAGAGAAGCCATATGAATGCGGTTACTGTGGGAAGTCCTTCAGACAAAGGACTAACTTCATTCTGCACAAAAGAGTGCACACTGGAGAAAGACCTTACGAGTGCAATGAATGTGAGAAATCTTTTACCCGCACATATAACCTCCTCACACACCAGAGAATTCACACTGGAGAAAAGCCCTACGAGTGTAGCGATTGTGGGAAGACCTTCAGAGAAAGCTCTACCCTCATTAAACACAAAAGAGTGCACACTGGAGAAAGACCTTATAAGTGTAATGAATGTGGGAAGTCTTTTACTCGCACATCTAACCTCCTTAGACACCAGAGACTGCACACTGAAGAAAGGCCTTAAGCATAACAACACGGAGGAGACTCAGAGTTATTTACCTGAATTTAACTTCCTGTTCATGGAACATACAGTCTGCTAGGTTCCTGATGAGTCAAGTTCATGAGAGGCTTTAAGGGGCTGCATTGCACTGTAACCTGCAAGGGCTATTACCAGATTGATCGATGTCACTGCTGGATTTTGTGGCTGGAACCATTTCAACTCTCCCACATGGCTCCCCTGGACCGTGTGCCTCAGTCACACCTGTGTGCTCAGGGAAGATGACTTCTGTGTCCACTTTTGTCTGGGAAAATTATGAGTACCCTGAGCTGTGGTCGGGATCTTCAATTCTTCCTCTCTGACTAGGGAATGGACCTGAGGCCCCATCCTCAGCGAAGGTCGTGTTTCCATGGACATTGTTGTTCTCACATTATGCTGTGGTGAATTTTTCCAGGTTATCATTCACCAGCCTGGAAACTGCTCTGATTTGTGATCATTTTGTGAAGTTTTTTGTTTTTGTACTTTCGTTGTTGTTGTTAATTGCCGGAAGCCGGTCCATCCTTGCTGCTTGACACAGTTGCTGCAGGAAAGAGACATCTGCACAGCATATGTTTCAAGGGACCTGGCGTGTATGGCATATTGTTCTTGGTATGTTTGCTCTCCTTGGTGCCGTGTGTTTTGACCAAGGTCACCTCTCTGAGAAAGGTTGTTTCCCCAGGTGGGGATTTTTCCCTGAGGTTAGGGAGGGGATACAACCCCTTAATTAAGTGCCAGGCGGGTAGTTAAGCTACATAATCTTTACTCCCTGGAATGGAGATAAGAAACGCCCTAACCTTTGTAATAGAAATTGACAGGATTAAAATCGGCTGGTATAAATATGGATGTAACAAGACAATAAACATCAGAACCTCATCAGTTCCTAACCAGAGCTCCGACCAGAACTTTGGCTGGAAATCCTGGCTATAGGTCCTAACTAGGCTGCTGATCAACTGAAGGCTGTCTTCGTGTCATTCTTTCTTCGCCGACTCCGTCCACACCTTTGGGGACCCCTGGACCCGCTGGGATTGGACCCCAGCAGTTAATTCTCACGTGAGGATTAGAGACAGTGGAAGGGAGACGGAGAGACAGAGAGAGAGAAACATTGATGTAAGACACATTGATTAATTGCCTCGGAATGTGCCCCAGCCCCTTCCAGGGACCCAGGCCATGGATCGAGCCTGCAACTGAGGTATGTATCCTTGAGCAGAAGCGAACCTGGACCCTTCAGTCTGCAGGTCGATGCTCTATCCACTGAGCGAAACTGGCTAGGGCGCTTTTGTGCTTTTAATTTTCATGCTTGTAGTCACTGTGCGAGATGATTTGACATAAGAATTGTGATCTGTCTGCATATAGAAGTGAACGGATTTTGTGGGGAGGCCAAACTTTGTTTCAGAAGGCACAACATGATGGCGGAAAATTGCTCTTTGTCCCATGTCACCTGGATGGTCGTTCCGCTGTTTGGCCATTTGGTTGATTTGCATATTACACTTTTATTATATAGGATAGTACAGTAGACATGTACTGAATATAAGATGTGTTAAAATGGAATCATTTAGGGGCCTGGAACAGATTATTTAAATTTACATTATTTTTAATGGGGGGAAATGAATCTGTGTTCAAACAAATCACTTCTCAAAATGCTTTCTGGCCCTAACCAGTTTGGCTCAGTGGATAGAGTGTCAGCCTGCAGACTGAATGGTCCCGGGTTCAATTCCAGTCAAGGGCACATACTCAGGTTGCGGGTTCGATCCCCAGTAGTGGGCGTGCAGGAGGCAGCCGATCAATGATTCTCTCTCATTGATGTTTCTATCTCTCCCTCTCCCTTCCTCTCTGAAATCAATAAAAATAATATTAAAAAACAAGCTTTCTGGAATGAATTAAGTCGACAACTGAGATTCCACTGGATATTGGGTAGAAGGCATTACAGTAAATTAGATGGAAGGTGCCACTTCTGAACGTTCATCCACAAATGTTCTAGGGCCTGTGGCTTCTGTAATCTGGGGGTACCGCATTCTCAGGACCTCCACAACTGTTTCCTGTAGCCGAGGTCATTGGCAGATTTTGTTAGTTCCCCCTGCCTCTCTGGCATGTTCACCTCAAGGCTATTGCTCTACAGGCAAGAAAACAAAGGTAGAAAGAAGGATGATCCTGTAGACAGTCAGCATTCCTGTTGATTTTGATGGTAATAGTCTTCATTGCTTGTCAATATTTGCTGCCACTGAGGCCAGGCTGCCCCTCTCAGGTCTTGAGGAGAGAGATGGCAGAGTCCATATAAGCTTGCCAACCTAATTTTCTAAGAAAAGAGGAATAGCTAGGTCGTTAGTGGGAATCACTATTTTCTAAAATATATTTTTACTAGAGGCCTGGTGCACAACATTCGTGCACTGGCGGGGGGTGGGGGGTGGGGTCCCTCAGCCTGGCCTGTGCCCTTTCAGTCCCAGAGCCCTCAGGGGATGTCCCACTGCCAGCTACGGGGAGCGGCCTAAGCTGCAGTCGGACATCCTTAGCACTGCCGCGGAGGCAGGCCACTGCACTTGCCAGTCATCAGCCTGGCTTGTGAGAGCACACTGACCACCAAGGGGCAGCTCCTGCATTGAGCATCTGCCCCCTGGTGGTTAGTGTGCGTCATAGCAATCCGTCCTTACTCTGGTCAATTTGCATATACCCTTTTATTGTATAGAGTAGGATTGATTTAAAAGAGGAAGGGAGAGATAGAAACATCAATGATGAGGCATGTAGGGGGCATGTAGGAGGCAGCCAGTCAATGATTCTCTCTCATCATTGATGTTTCAATCTCTCCCTCTCTCTTCCTCTCTCAAATCAATAAAAATATATTTAAAAGAAAAAGAAAAGTGCCTCTTCTGAATGTTTTCCACAAATGATCAAAGGTCTTGTGTGATCTTCGCGTACGGACGTTCTCAGGACCTCCATCACTATTTCCTGCGACTGAAGTAATTGGCAGAGGAAATTACATAACGGCTTTTCGGATTCCCCTGGCCCCTCTAGGGTGTTCACCTCAAGGTTTGCTCAACAGGCAAGACCTCAAAGCTAGAGGAAGGATAATGCTGTAGTCAGTCCCAGGATGTGTCTTTTGTAACCAGTCAGCTTTCCTGTTGATTCCGATGGCAATAGTCTTCCCTGCTTGACAACATTTTGCTGACACTGAGGCAAGGCTGGTCCTCCCAGGAAATGAGAACTGACATGCAACAAAGTGCAGTTATTTTTTTAATCCTCATCCAAAGATATTCCTCCATTGATTTTTAGAGATAGGGTGAGGGACAGTGAGGGTTGGAGAGAAACATCAATGTGAGAGAAACACATCGATTGGTTGCCTCCTGCATGCACCTCGACTAGGGCTGGGGATCGAATCTGCAACTGAGGTACATGCCTGTGACCTGGAATGGAACCCGTGACCTTTCTGTCCATGGGCCGACACTAACCACTGAGCAAAGCCGGCCAGTGCGAAGGTGTGTACTCTAACAAATATTGGTTTCCTTCTTGCTACACAGTTATTTTGAGACTCAACACAAATGTTTATGTGAATAGTTTTTAAAAAATTTTTTATTGCTGAGTAGTAGTATGTTCTATGGATAACCACTGTATCTATTGATCTGTCTGAGATTTCGGTTTCCAGGTTTGGGGTATTATAAATAAATCTTGGAATATTTGTGTTCAGTTCTTTATATAGATACATGTTGTGTAGGTGCATGTTTTACATCTTAAGATATGCGGAAATGTGACCCAAAATGGTCATTGCTTTTGCCTTCACACCCACTGACAGCATATAAAAATTCCAGGTTTTGCGCTGGCCGGTTCGGCTCAATGGATAGAGTGTCGGCCTGCGGACTGAAAGGTCTCGGGTTCAATTCCGGTCAAGGGCACATGCACTGGTTGTGGGGGGCGTGCAGGAGGCAGCCGATCCATGATTCTCTCTCATCATTGATGTTTCTATCTCTCTCTCTCCCTCTCCCTTCCTCTCTGAAATCAATAAAAATATATTTTAAAAAAATTCCAGTTTTTCTATAATGCTGCCAACACATGCAGTGGTTGACTTTTTAAAACACTAGCCCCCTAAGTGAGTATAGTGTGAATTCGCTTTCGTTCTAATTCCATGGACCTAAGAATTGTTGATGGGGAGCATTTCTTCATACATTGATTTACACGGTCTTTATCTCCTTCGGTAAAATGTCTGCTCAGAATGTTGTACCAATTTTTGAATGAATTTATTATTTTAACTGGTAGGACTGCACAGTCTAAGGCACATGTTGGAATTTCCACTCATTTTTCATTGATTCAAGTGACTTATTTGCCATATGGACCCTATGTTTTGAATATTGGAAGGAAAATTGTTTTCTCAGTTTTTATCCTATGTACAATTTAAACCAACTTGTGCCATATACTTATATATTTTTATTGATTTCAGAGAGGAAGGGAAAGAAACATCAGTGATGACAGAGAATCATTGATTGGCTGCCTTCTGCATGCCCCCTACTGCTGATTGAGCCTGAAACCTGGGCATGTGCCCTTGACCCTAATCCAGTGGTCGGCAAACTCATTAGTCAACAGAGCCAAATATCAACAGTACAACGATTGAAATTTCTTTTGAGAGCCAAGTTTTTTAAACTTAAACTATATAGGTAGGTACATTGTTATTAACTTAATTAGGGTGCTCCTAAGGCTTAGGAAGAGCCACACTCAAGGGGCCAAAGAGCCGCATGTGGCTCGCGAGCCGCAGTTTGCCGACCACGGCCCTAATCGAACCTGGGACCCTTTAGTCCACTGGCTGACGCTCTATCCACTGAGTCAAACCGATTAGGGCTAAATTATTATTTTTTAAAAAAATATTTTTATTGATTTCAGAGAGGAAGAGAGAGAGACAGAAACATCAATGATGAGAGAGGACCACTGACCAGCTGCCTCCTGCACAGTCCCCACTGGCGACCGAGCCTGCAACCCAGGTATGTGCCCTTGACCGGAATCGAACCCAGGACCCTTCAGTCCGCAGGCTGACACTCTATCCACTGAGCCAAACCAGCCAGGGCAAAATATATGTATTTTATTTTATTTTTTTAAATGTACTTTTTTATTGATTTCAGAGAGGAAGGAAGAGAGAGAGAGACATCAATGATGAGAATCACTGATCAGCTGTCTCCTGCACACCCCCTACTGGGGATTGAGGTGGAAACTCGGGCATGCGCCCTTGACCGGAATCGAACCCAGAACCCTTCAGTCCACAAGCGGACACTCTATCCCAGGGGAGGGCAAACTTTTTGACTCGCAGGCCACAATGGGTTCTTAAACTGGACCAGAGGGCCGGAACCAAAGCATGGATGGAGTGTTTGTGTGAACTATTATAAATTCAAAGTAAACATCATTACATAAAAGGGTACGGTCTTTTTTTTTTTTTTTTAGTTTTATTCATTTCAAACGGGCGGATCCGGCCCGCGGGCCGTAGTTTGCCCACAGCTGCTCCACTGAGCCAAACCGGCCAGGGCAAAATATATGTATTTTTAAAAAACTTTCGCACATTTGTTAGACTCATACTTCACTTCTCCAGAACAGACACCCTGACGTTGAACAACTTTCTGGCTGTTGCAGCTTTTTCACCTTCACCCCAATGGTGGTGACTTTTTCCACTGAGAACTTCCTGTGAAATCTCACTGCCCCTGTGCGGCTCCTCAGCGTTGAGAGGGGCCTGGAGCTGGAGAAGCCCTGAGGTGGCTGGGAAGACTTCCCACCCTCCCCGCTGGTGGAAGGCACCCAAGATGAGAAGAAGCTGCACCTGGTCACAAACGAGGCCCTGGCCGGTTGAAAGACTACATTACCCAGAAAGCAATGCGCTCAATCAGCGGAGGTAAAGCGCATTTGGGTGGCGGCTCATTCCATTAGGGCGGGACTTCCGGCGTCCTCCTCCCCGCGGACTTTTGGATTTTTTGTTCTGTTCTGGGACTCGGGCTTCGGCCCATGTAGCAGAAGGCAGCGCCCCCGCTGTGCAGGGTGGGTCTGGGGCTTTTGGACCCGCAGCCCCTGGGACTGGGGTCCCCCAGGCTCCCCGCCTCCTCTCCGCCGACAGAGTCCCCTCGGCCTCACCCCATCGGACCCCCCAGCCTCCGGGCCGGCGCCGCTCGGGTCCCGCCGCCCAGGGCGCAGCGTCCAGCGCAGTGAGTCCTCGTGGGGCCCCGGGGTGTGAGGGGAGGGAGGGCGCCGGGCTGCGGGGCCGCCGGGGAGGCCGTGGGGGGCTGAGCCGGAGGGGCACCCAGGCCTGGTTTGTGTCTAAAGGCGACGGAGAGGACGAGCGGCGGGTCCGGGGGGAGGTTCACTTCCTGCTCGGGCGCCGGGGCCGGGGGTGGTTGTGAGCAAAGAGGGACCGTGAGCCCCGAGGGCGGCGGGCATCACTCCCCCCGGGGCGGGGCCAGGGCCCTGAGCAGCCGGAGCCCCTGGGTCCTGGGGTGGGTGCCCGGCCCTCAGCCTTTTGGTTCCACCGGTTTCCTGCGGGTGCAGAGCCGCTGAGGGGACGGGGCTGTGGGGCTCCTGTCAGGGCCTCACTCTCTGGTGGCCTCTGAGGTCGTGGGATCCTGGGCCGTCGGCCCCTCTTCCCGCCCTGGGACCTGGGGACACTCAGCCCAGAGTCCTGAGGCCACGGCTGGGGCTTTATGACGTGGACCCTGGTTTTGGCAACGAGTGGAATGAGGGGTGGGGGTTCCTCCCAGGCACAGGGACCAGAATGTGCAAAGGCTTGGAGTAAAGGCTGAGCTGGTTCAGCAACTGGCAGGTGTACTTTAAAACACACACACACACAGCTGGTGTTGCCCAGTGGATAGAGCGTTGGCCTGTGGACTGAAGGATCCCAGGTTTGATTCTGCTCAAGGCACATGGCTGGGTTGGGTGCTCAATCCACAGTAGGGGTCGTGCTGGAGACAGTTGATCAATGATTCTCATCATTGATGTTTCTAACTCTCCCTCTACTTTCCTCTCTGAAAGCCATAAAATATATCTTTAAAATAATAAAATTTAAAAAATATATATATAATTTGGTTAATTTTAGATGGAGAAAGGCATATGCCTATGGGGGCTGGGGCTGTGGGAGTGCAGTAATTCTTCCATGAGGAAGAAACCAGGTTCAGTTCCCTCCTGCATGACCCTATTTATATCCAGTCCCAAACCCAGGCAGGGGACTTGACTGGGACTGGTATGTATCTTCGACCTCTTAGTGGTGGGTTGATGCTTAGTCAAGTGACACAATCAGCCAGGACCATAGATCACTTTAATACGGGAATCATGGTCAGGATGGTAATGGTAGTGGTAGCTCAGAGGATCAGTGTGACCCTGAGGACGGGTTTCCTGCCGGGGCCCCTGTTTGTGGGACGTGGGTGTCATAACAAGGGGACAGAGTGGTCTGTAGAGTGTTGAAGAGATAATGGCTTTGCAAAGGTCAAGGCCTTTAAAGATGAGTGGCCATGAGATGAATTGGAGGCTGAAGAGTAATTCACACAGGATGAGGCTAGGGCTGGTACATAGTTACTTCTCTAAACACTCACCGGGATTTTTGCTGTGACCCTTGGTGTGGCCGGGGGTGTTGCAGTCAGACTTGTGGATTAGCTTAGAGGCTTGAGTGGTCATCTGTGAGACTCACTGGGCTCGGTGCAGCGGGCCATCGGGGCTGGGACTTGAGTGATGGGTAAGTGGAGAGATGTTGACTGTGTCTGCTGAAGGAACATCGAGTGCAGCAGCAGGGGAGGTGGGCTCTGGATATCTGAGGTCTGATTGTGTTTCTCAATAATTGAGGTTGAAGGAAAATAGAGTCATGGAGAGAGGCCTTCAGAGCAGGACTCCAGGCTGCCTCTGAGTGTCTGGGCAGGACTTGATCCTGTTTGAATTGGGCAGGCATTCTCTGGACCACACCTGCTGAGTAATGAGTAAGAGGCCAAGGAGATGCCTGTGGGGGCTGGGGCTGTGGGAGTGCAGGTGTGAGAGAGGTGTGGGAGAAAGTCATGTGCCCTTGGTGTGGGGGAGAGAATTCATGGCCACAGGGCCCTGATATTGACATAAGAGTGAATGAAGGTGAGTCCATTTCTGCTGGTGTCTTTCTGATACAATAAGGGGGATTTTAGGGAAATTGCCTGAAAAGAGTGGTGTTGTGGTGCTGCGTGCCAGTTCCATACGTTTGCCATTTATCTACCCTCCTGTCTTTTTTTGTTGAGGGCTGACCCACTGATCTATTGGAATGAGAGCATAAATCAGTGTTACCCGCGCTTGCAAATCTCCACTGGCATGGGTGAGAGAGAAGGGCAAGAGAAAAATAGATTATGAAGGTGGTGAACTACAATGTTGGCAAAGAAGATGATTAGGAAATAAACTGTGCGCATCACGGCATATTTGTGTTACGTTTGACATTGTACCTGTGGGAAGGAAGCTGTGTGAGAGACGTGTGGTTCAAAGAATATGAGCCGCAGGTAGTGCAAAGTGTTGGCCTCAGCACCCAGGACTGGGTTGTAAAAGTGAAGTGTGATGTCATGTTTTTAGTGTCTTTGAGGACAATCTTGGGAACTACAAGGGTATTGCCTGACAAGACCAGTATCAAATCACTCACACTCTCTTTATGTTCTTGACACCCATTCTATTGAAAGAGGCAGTGTGGCCTACATGGGAGGCCCAGAGCTCAGGTATCTTCTCTCTGCTCAACTGCCTTTATTGTTGTGGGAAGACAAAATAAATATCAGTAGGAATTTAAGAAGACAGTGACTTTGCTGGTTCAAAGGCCTGCTATCTTCTCTGATGTGTGGAATAGAGAAAGCAATGGATGTGGAGGGTGGGGAGTATGACAGACTTGGAATCTTAGGAGAAGATTTGATCATGGGCTGTGCTGTTCCCATTACAACAGGATATGAACTTTGAGGACGTGGCCATTGCCTTCTCCGAGGGCGAGTGGGGCCTCCTTGATGAGCCTCAGAGACTTCTATACTGCGATGTGATGCTGGAAGTGTTTGCACTGGTGTCATCTGTAGGTAAGACCTTCACATTCCCCCGGTGTCCTGAGGTGATGTCCCATAGCCAGACCATAGGCCCTGCTAATTGCCCCCACTGTCCTGTCAAATGCGCTGTGGCTGCTAGGGGTGAGCTCTGCGGAGAGCCCTGAGCAAAGGACTCCAGGAATATCCCTCACACCCGTTGCCTCAAAAAGTACAGGAAGTGTCCGGGAGTCAGGAGTCTTACAGTGACCTTACTGGGTCCCACCTTGCACATTCTCTTCCTGGGAGGGTGACTGTCTACATATAGGGCTTTCACTTCTTCCCCCTTCCTCTAGTTCAAGGTTCTGTGTGACGGCCTGTGCCAGGTTATGGTCTTTCCTGACATGAGCCATGGCCTGTTACTGTAAAACCTCCTTAGTTGTTTGTAAAATTCTCTTTCCTGAACACTATTGCAAGAACTGCTACTGCTCGCCTCTTCATCACCTGTCCCTCTGCTCTGCTGCCTCTGCAGTACTCCTCAGCATGGACCGGCACATGTGTTAGGAGGTGCACATACGTGCTTATGCAGTCCTTGAAACCACCTACTCCTTTATTGAATTTTACTTGGAAAAAGACCTACCCAACCTCCTGCACAGCTTGCCCCTGTCACCAGCAAACAAGCCCTGCTGAGCGCTGTTAGCAGAAGACTGAGGTGGAGATCTGGCTTCTCTTCCATGTGGTCCTTGCCATGTGTTGTGTCATATTTCTGGTGAGGCCTTCCCTGTTTTGTGATCATCAGTGGCCCAGACTTCACAGCGGCCTCTTATTAATCCTTCCTGCTCCTCTCTTATTTTCAGACAATTGCACGGAACCCATGTATTATGTGCAAAACACTTTTCCATTTGGACTTCCCCTGTCACCACAACCAACATTCATTTACTCAGCATTTCTCTGTTTGCAGGTTGTTGGCATAAAACAGATGATGCGGAGGCCTGTTCTGAGCAGAGTGTATCTGTACAAGGGGAGTCACAGGTTGGTGCTTCTAAGACAGAGCCAGCAACCCAGAGGACCCCTCTCTGTGGGAGGTGTGTCTCTGTGTTAAAAGACATTCTGCACCTGACTGAGTCACAAGCAGCAGACTTTGAGCAGAAGGCCTTCTTCAGTGACGCATGTGTGAGAGACTTCTGTTTCAGTGCAAACCCTCACCAGCAACAGAGGGAAGCCAGTGGAGAGAAGCCCTGGAAAGAAGCTGTGGACAGGGCCTCGTTTGTGACCAGGTGCAGCTTCTACTTATCTTGGGTACATTCACCCAATAAGGAGGGTGGGGAAGACTTGCCAGCCATCTCAGAGCTTCTCCAGCCCCAGGCCCCTCTCAACGCTGAGGAGCCACACAGTGGCAGTGAGAGTTCCCAGAAACTTCTCAGTGGAAAACGTCATAACCAGTGGGGTCAATGTGAAAATGCTGCCAGCCACAACCAGAAAGTTGTACAACAGAGCGTCTGCTCTGGAGAAGTGAATTATGAATGTAACAAATATGGAAAAATTTTTAGAGGAATCTCTAGCCTCATTCGACATAGGAAAGTTCACACTGGAGAAAAGCCATATGAGTGTAGTGATTGTGGGAAGGCCTTCAGATGTAAGACTAACCTCAATCAACACCACAGACTTCACATTAGAGAAAAGCCCTATGTGTGTACTGATTGTGGCAAGACTTTCAGTCGTAGGTACAACCTCACTGTACACCAAAGAGTTCACACTGAGGAAAAGCCATATGAGCGTATTGATTGTGGCAAGACTTTAAGTCATAGGTACAACCTCACTGAACACCAGAGAACTCACACTGGAGAAAAACCTTATGAGTGCAGTGAATGTGGGCAGTCCTTCAGACTAAGGTCTGCCCTCACTAAACACCGGAGAGTTCACACTGAAGAAAAACCTTATGAGTGTAGTGAATGTGGGCAGTCCTTCAGACGAAGGTATGCCCTCACTAAACACCACAGAGTTCACACTGGAGAAAAACCTTATGAGTGTACTGATTGTGGCAAGACTTTCAGTCATAAGTCCAACCTCACTGTACACCAGAGAGTTCACACTGGAGAAAAACCTTATGAGTGTAGTGAATGTGGGCAGTCCTTCAGACGAGGGTATGCACTCACTAAACACCACAGAGTTCACACTGGAGAAAAACCTTATGAGTGCAGTGAATGTGGGAAATCTTTTAGATGCCATGGTCACCTTTTTACCCACAGGAGAATTCACACTGGAGAAAAACCTTATGAGTGTATTGAATGTGGGCAGTCCTTCAGAGAAAGGAGTATGCTTACTAAGCACCAGAGAGTTCACACTGAGGAAAAACCTTATGAGTGTACTGATTGTGGCAAGACTTTCAGTCATAGGTCCAACCTCACTGTACACCAGAGAGTTCACACTGGAGAAAAACCTTATGAGTGCAGTGAATGTGGGAAATCTTTTAGATGCCATGGTCACCTTTTTAAGCACAGAAGAATTCACACTGGAGAAAAACCTTATGAGTGTAGTGAATGTGGGCAGTCCTTCAGAGCCAGGAGTACGCTTACTAAGCACCAGAGAGTTCACACTGGAAAAAAACCGTATGAGTGTAGTGAATGTGGGCAGTCCTTCAGAGAAAGGAGTAAGCTTACTAAGCACCAGAGAGTTCACACTGGAGAAAAACCTTATGAGTGCAGTGAATGTGGGCAGTCCTTCAAAGGAAAGTCTGCCCTCACTAAACACCAGAGAGTTCACACTGGAGAAAAACCTTATGAGTGTACTGATTGTGGTAAGACTTTCAGTCGTAGGTACAGCCTCACTGAACACCAGGGAGTTCACACTGGAGAAAAACCTTATGAGTGTAGTGAATGTGGGCAGTCCTTCAGACTAAGGTCTGCCCTCACTAAACACCGGAGAGTTCACACTGGAGAAAAACCTTATGAGTGTACTGATTGTGGCAAGACTTTCAGTCATAGGTGCAACCTCACTCAACACCAGAGAGTTCACACTGGAGAAAAACCATATGAGTGCAGTGAATGTGGGAAATCTTTTAGATGCCATGGTCACCTTTTTAAGCACAGGAGAATTCACACTGGAGAAAAACCTTGAGTGTAGTGAATGTGGGAAATGTTTTAGCCAAAAATCTCACCACCTTAGACACCTGATTGTTCACAATGGAGAAAAGCTTTAAATGGGCACCGAATACTTTCTTTTTCTCTTTGATAATAACAACACTGAAGGGGACTCTTTTATACACAATTAACAGAACATAAACCCCTTTTATCACAACACGCACTCCGCTTAATTCCTCATTAAATTTCAAGTACAAGTGATGCTTTAAATAACTGCATGGCACTTGCTAATATACTCGGGCCTACTACCCGATTGAAAACAGTGGGACTATTCCTGGCTGAGGCGATTTCACCTGCACCACCTGGCTCACCTGATCAGGGTGCATCAGTCACAGCCCCTGCGTGGTCAGGGAAAAAGGATTCTGTGTTCTCACCTCCGCCTGAGCAAACTGTGATTCCTCCAAGCTCCTGGCAGGATCTTCATTCCTTTCTGACTAGGAAATGGAGTTGATTGAGGGTTCATCCAGCGCACCCATCCTCAGCTAAGAAGAGCTACCTCTCTCAGAGACATAGTGGCTCTCACCTTATGCTGTGATGAATTGCTTCAGGTTCCAATCCACCAACCTGCAACCCCATGGAATTTAATAACACGTCTCTGGTTTATGATCTTTTTGTTCAGGTGATTTACTCATGTACTAGTAACTTTCATTTTGTTGGTCCTATTCATTGCCTGGCTTGATCTGAAAGCACACTTGGGATCTGTCAGCATGAACAGGGGAACAGATATTGTGGGAATCCCCAACCTGCTATGCTCCCAAAGGCAAAGCGTGGAGTCAGAAAATCACTGTCCAGTATTCACTTGTAGTGCAGTGCTGCCCAAGACCTGGAAAGAAAGCCGGCATGACTTGGTGGTTCTCATTTGCAGCCTGGTGCCTCCTATGATTGCGGTCTGAGGTCATCCTGAAGATGGGGGTGAGAGGGCTTTGTTGTGCTTCTGTGAACAATGTGAATTATATTCTCCGTTCACAGTGTGTATTACATGCTGTCAAGGTGCTCTGTGCCGTTATGAATGGCATTTCATAGGCTGGTGTCACTTGTATTGAGACTCTGAGGGTTAGTTTGAACTACAACTGGGTCAGAAACCCTGTATTCATAGTGAGTGGGAAAGAGTGCAGAGAATTAGGTGAATCGCACCTCTTCTGCATGTTACCCACAAATGACCAAGGATTTGTGACTTGTGTGGTCATTGTGGACAGGCGTCCTCAGTTCCTTTATCACTGTTTCCTGTGGCTAAAGTCATTTTTACAGAATATAATCTAAAGGGTCTGTTTCCTCTTCTGGCCTCTCTAAGGTGTTCACCTCAAGGTTTGCTCAACAGGGAAGACCTCAAAGCTAGAGGAAGGGTAATCCTGTAGTCAGTCCCAGGATGTGGCTTTTGTTACCCAGTGTGCATTCCTGTGATTTGATGGCCATAGTCTTCCCTGCTTGCCAAGATTTGCTGCCACTGAGGCAAGGCTGGTCCTCCTAGGGAATTAGGAGAGGGATGGTAGAGCCCATATAGGGTTGTCAATTTAATTTTCTAACAAGACGGATATCTAGGCCTTTATTTTGAAGCACAATTTAAGGTTTTTTAATGTTTATTTGCAACTTAGATGCAACAAAATGCACTTATCTAATGTGTACTGTTTGGTGAACTGGGACATAGGGATCAAGCTCTGAAACGGTCACGTGTGACATAAACTTTTCTCTCACCATATACAGGTTAAGGCAAACCAGGCATACAGATGTGATTATGCAGAACACAGAGTTGACTCTCTATTTTTCTAAATAAGTATTTTACATATTTCAAATTATTTTTATTGACTTTTCACAAAGAGGAAGGGAGAGAGAGAGAGAGAGAGAGAGAGAGAGAGAGAGAGAGAGAAGTGGTGTTATTAGAAAGACACATCAGACAGCTGCCTCCTAAACGTAAACTACATGGCACCCAGGTAGGCATGTGCCAGGAGATGGAATGGAACCAGTGACCTTCTAGGGCAAGAGATGGTGCTCAAAACCTGACGTTCACTAGCCAGGGAGGAGTTTATTCTTGTTTTTCATTATTTTTAAATTATTATAGTAATTTCTATGCCAACAGCTCTACACCTACTTTGCCACACCCTGTAGTTACCTCCTGCCCTTTTGTCATCTCTCCTTCTGCCTTCCTCAGCCCTAAATGCAGTCATTGATTTTTCTTTCTTTACAAGGTTAGTTAATATTTTTCATAATTCCGTAAGCAGTATAAGGGGTACACAAATATTGCTCTCCTTCATGCTACACAGTTATCTTGAGATTCAACATGATGCTTATGTGAATAGTTGATTATTTTTTATTGCTGAGTCGTATTGTGTTCTGCAAATTACCACTTGATCTATTAATCTTTCAGTGGTTTTAGTTATTTCCAGGTTTGGGATATTAAAAATAAGTCTGCTGGGAATATTGCCTTCAATTCTTTATATAGATGTATGTTTTACTTATCAAACTGATGCAGTGTAGGCGAATGTTTTACCTGTTAGTGTATGCAGAACTGTGGTCTAAAATGGCCATTCCCTTTGCCTTGCCATCCACCCACAGTAATGAAAATTCTAGTTTTTCCACAACCCTGCCAGCACATGTGATGTTTAATCCTTTTAATAATAGGCCGAGAAATGAGTATAGTGTTAACTTGCTTTGTTTTAATTCCATTTCCCTAATAAATTTTTATGTTGAACGTTTTTTCAAGCAATTCTTCACACTGTCTTTTTCTCCTTTGTTGAAATATCTGGTCAGAATATTTTGACAAATTTTAAAATAAATTTATTATTTTAACTAGTAGGTTAGTGCAGCATCTAAGATATATTATTTCATTTCACTCAATCCTCAGTGAGTCAACTGACTTCTTTGCAATGTGAAACTATATATTTTTTAAAAAAATATTTATTGATTGATTTTAGAGAGTAAGGGAAAGGGATAGAGAGTTAGAAACATCAATGATGAGAGAGAATAATTGATCGGCTACCTTCTGCACACCCCCTACTGGGGATCAAACCCGCAAGCCAGGCATGTGCCCTTGCTTGGAATCGAATCCAGGACCCTTCAGTCCCCAGGCCTACAGTCTATCCACTGAGCCAAACCGGCTAGGGCTCAACCCCTTAATTCTTAAAAAAAAATGTATATATATACATATTTTATTGATTTTTACAGAAAGGGAGTGGGATAGAGAGTTAGATACATCGATGAGAGAGAAACATCGATTAGCTGCCTCCTGCACATCTCCTAATGGGGATGTGCCCACAACCAAGGTTCATGCCCTTGATCGGAATCAAACCTGGGACCTTTCAGTCCGCAGGCCGATGCTCTATCCATTGAGCCAAACCGGTTTCGGCAAAGAAATATATTTTAAACAATAACAACAAACACCTGGGACCAGCTACCGAAAGCTGAAATTGCCATTTCCCAGCGCCACTCAGCGCCCCAGCACCAATACCTGCAATGGTCAGTGAGCGACTGGCCTCCTAATGCCACCTGCCGGGCCAAGAAAAGTGCATTACCCAGAGGGCAGTGCGCCTAAGGGGGTGTAGCCAATGAAAGCCCAAGAGAGGGTCCTGGAGCTCATCGGTTTGGGCGGGACTTCCTGTTGTTCTCAGAGTCCCAGGCTCCACTTCCGGGTCAGCCGGAGCAGGAGGCGGAGCGGGCGGCGTCCCCGCGGGGCAGGGTGTCCCTGAGGCTCGTGGCACCGCAACCCCCAGGACTGGGGTCCCCGAGGCTCCCCGACTCCTCTCCGGCGACAGAGGCCCCTCGGCCTCTCCCCATCGGACCCTCCAGCCTCGGGGCCGGCGCCGCTCGGGTCCCGCCGCCCAGGGCGCAGCGTCCAGCGCAGTGAGTCCTCGTGGGGCCCCGGGGTGTGAGGGGAGGGAGGGCGCCGGGCTGCGGGGCCGCCGGGGGAGGCCGTGGGGGGCTGAGCCGGGAGGGGGGCACCCAGGCCTGGTGTGTGTCTAAAGGCGACGGAGAGGACGAGCGGCGGGTCCGGGAGGGGGTTCACTTCCTGTTCAGGGCCCCGGCGTCATCCGATGGTTGTGAACTTTTCCCAAAACTGCCCAGAGGAAGAACAGACGAGAAGGGAGACGACAGCAGTTGGGGCCCGGAAGGAGAAGTCCTTTGAAAGATAAGGGACTTGCCCCGGCTGGTGTGGCTCAGTGGATAGAGCGTCGGCCTGCAGACTGAAGGGTCCCGGGTTCGATTCCGGTCAAGGGCAGTTGCCAGGCTGCAGGCTCGATCCCCAGTAGGGGGCGTGCAAGTGGCAGCCGATCCATGATTCTCTCTCACCATGGATATCTCTATCTCTCCTTCTCCCTTCCTCTCTGAAATTAATAAAAATATATTTAAAAAAAATATAAGGAACTTGTCAAGGGTGTGCACTGAGGACCGAGCCCTGAGGCCATGCAGGCATCTGGAGGTCACCAGGCTCCAGGGCTGGGCAGCCTGAGCCCCTAAGTCTGGCGGTGGTGGCCAGGCTCTCGGCAGACCTTTCTCTTTCCACAGATCATCGCTTTGAAGTACTGGGGTTTCGGGTTTGTCGAATCGCCTTGAAGTACTGGTTTTGTTCCCGGGAAACCCCGGGGTGGGCTCTGAATGCCTGTTTCCATGTCCAATAAGGAAGGCTGGGTTGAATCCTATGAGGCCTTCATTGGGAAGGCCGGCCAACCAAGAAGACAGGGCAGTGGTTCTCAACCTTCCTGATGCCGCGACCCTTTAATACAGTTCCTCATGCTGTGCTGACCCCCAACCATAACATTATTTTCGTGGCTACTTCATCACTGTCATGTCGCTACTGTGATGAATCGTCATGTAAATCTCTGATATGCAGGATGTATTTTCATTGTTACAAATGGAACATAATGAAAGCATAGTGATTCATCACAAAAACAATATGGAATTCTATATGTGTTTTCCGATGGTCTTAGGCGACCCCTGTGAAAGGGTCGTTCGACCCCCAAGGGGGTCGCGACCCACAGGTTGAGAACCGCTGAGACTGGGCGCTTACAGGCATCCAAAACCTGACTTACAATCAGGTGCAGGCGGCAGGATTCTATAGGGAAAATGGGCTGGAGTGGGCGGGCAAAGGAACGCAGCTGCGTGTAGCCCTGGGGTCAGTAGAATTAACCATTGTTCTCGGTTGTCGGGTGATGAGATGATGTCTTGGTTCCTGGAGGGGTCGGCCTGGTCATGCTTACGGGTTGTGTGTGCTTGCTGGGTGCAGCGGACATTGTCTGCGGCGAAATCACCTCCTCCATCACTTTGTTTGGGATCAAAGGGATGGACAGGTGCCCTCCCTGAGAAATGAAACTTAGAAAAGAAAAAAAGAAAACACAACTTATCCCTCTGTTCCTACACGTATATGTATTTCAGAATTTCAAAATAATATGATTATTGTTCACATTAATTCAGGTGCTCTCTCTGTCAGATCATAAGTCCTCCCTATCACTTTCTGGAGCTGATTTCAGGGTTGTGGCCTCTGAGGTAGTGGGGTCCTGGGACTGTCCAGCCTCTCTTGCAGCCCTGGGACCTCGGGTCCTTGAAGAGACATCAACCCCAGAATCCTAATTCCATGTCTAGTGTCATATGAGTGGCCCCTGTTTTTAACTAGTGAGATGGGATGTGAGAGGTCCTTCCAGGAACAGGTTCCAGAGTGTGCAGACTCGGAATGAAGACTGAGGTAGTTCAGGAACCAGTAAGTATCTTAGAAGGAAGGAAAGAAGGGAGGAAGGGAGGAAGGGAGGAAGGGAGGAAGGGAGGAAGGGAGGAAGGAAGGAAGGAAGGAAGGATGGAAGGAAGGAAGAAACTGGTAATACTTGGAAAGGATTCAGGTCTAAATAAGCTTTGTGACAATGTGGGTATCTGTTCTGCAGGTGATGGGAACAGTGGGAGGTTTGGAGCAGTGGAGGCAGGGGATCTGACTCAGGTCTCCTTAGACGCCCTGTGGCTGCAGCTTGATGCACAGTATGGGTGAGAGGGAGGCGGTGGAAAGACTAGGATGGAGGCTGCTGTGATCGTCTTGGTGACTGTGATGGTCACTGGCCCATGATGGGGGCTGTGGAGATGGAAGACACAGTTGGGTTCTGGATCGGTGTTTTCGGTGTGGCCACCTGGATTTTCTAATGTTGAATTGGAGAGAGGGAGAGGTCAGAGTCAGAGATGATGTGAAAGTTTGGTTTTAGCAGCTGGAGGTATGGAAACACCATCAACTGAGATGGAGAAGTTCATAGTGGGAAGAGTAATGTTCATTTGCAAATTCAACAAGTTTTATTTTTGGCCTGTTAGGGTGTGAGATATTTCAGAGAGCAGTTCACAAGCGTCTGGAACTGAAATGTGGTTCAGAATAAAGAGTTCTTAAAAGAGTAGTGGAGAGTGTATGGACCAGGGAGGAGTTGTAGATGACCTTTTTTTTTTTTTTTTAAATTATTGGATGTGAAAGAGTAATTTAAATAAGTTGAGATTGGGGCTGATGCATATTTACTTCTTTTTAAAAAAATATTTATTTTACTGATTTTTTTTTACAGAGAAGAAGGGAGAGGGATAGAGAGAGTTAGAAACATCGATGAGAGAGAAACATCGATCAGCTGCCTCCTGCACACCCCCCACTGGGGATGTACCCACAACCCAGGTACATGCCCTTGACTGGAATCGAACTTGGGACCCTTCAGTCCGCAGGCCGACGCTCTATCCACTGAGTCAAGCCAGCTAGAGCCATATTTACTTCTTAAACACTCACCGGGAATATTTTGTGAGACTTGGTGTGGCCTGGGTGTTGCAGTCAGTCTGGTTCATTTGCTTATGGGCGTGAGTGGGCATGTGTGAGAGTCACTGGGCGTGGGGTAGAGGGCCATGGGTGATGGGACTTGAGTAAGGAAGTCTGTGAGTCATGAAGGGACCTCAAGTGCAGCCCGGTAAAGGTGGGCTGTGTGTGTGTGTGTTTGTGTGTATATATATATATATGTGTGTGTATGTATGTGTGTGTGTGTGTGTGTGTGTGTGTGTGTGTATATATATATATATTATTGATTTTTACAGAAAGGAAGGGAGTGGGATAGAGAGTTAGATACATCGATGAGAGAGAAACATCGATTAGCTGCCTCCTGCACACCTCCTAATGGGGGTGAGCCCACAGCCAAGGCACATGAGCTTGACCAGAATCTAACCTGGGACCTTTCAGTCTGCAGGCCAACGCTCTATCCACTGAGCCAAACTGGTTAGAGCTAAATATATTTTTATTGATTTCAGAGAGGAATGGAGAGGGACAGAGAGAGAGACAGAAACATCAATGATGAGAGAGAATCATTGATCAGCTGCCTGTTGCACGTCCCCTACTGGGTATTGAGCCCACAACCTGTGCATGTGCTTGTGACCGGATGTGAACCGGGAACCCTTCAGTCCATAGGCTGATGCTCTATCCAGTGAGCCAAACCAGCTAGGGCCCCTTAATTCTTTTTTAAAATTGTAATGCTGATCTGAGGATATGTTTATTGCTTTAGAGAGAGAGGAAGGGAGGGGCATAGACAAAAAAAAAAAGGAACATCCATGTGAGAGGAAACATGGACCGGTTGCCTTCCATAAATGTGATTGATTCTTCGTGGCCCATACACAGAGGATGGATTTAGGCCTGGGAGAGTCTATTTTGAAGAAGTGGTGTTAGAAAAATTGGAGGGTGTCGGATGGGTGATGGGAGACACAGCACAGGCGGAGGGGCCAAAGGATATGCAGCACAGGGGAGGCACATGATTCATGCTCGAGTTGAGGATGGGAGAGTTGGAAGGGGTTGACCTCAGCAAATGTACCTCAGTCATATTGAGGACGTTTTTAGCAAAGGCCAGTTTAGGAGTACCCTCATTAAGTTAATAACAATGTGCCTACCTAAATAGTTTAAGTTTAAAAAATGTGGCTCTCAAAAAAAATTTCAATCGTTGTACTGTTGATATTTGGCTCTGTTGACTAATGAGTTTGCCAACCACTGTCCCAGATGATCACACCACCTCCCTCTCACACATATTGCTCTCCATGCTGAAGCCACGGGGCATCTAATGAGACCTGAGTCAGATTACGTGCCTCCGCTGCTCCAAATCTCCCATTGCCCCCATCACTTGCAGAACAGACAACCTTGCTGTCACAGAGCTCCTCTATTCCTGACTCCGCTCCCATTCTTACCTGTTCCCATCAAAGAGAAAAGCATTCCTGCAGGTTCCTGAACCAGCTGTCTTCACTCTGAGCCTCTACCACATGTGAAACCTGTGCCTGGAAGGACCTCCTACATCTCATTCCACTGTTTTCCAGAACAACATGAACCACTTCATACAACCTTAGTCATGGACTTAGGATTCTGGACTGAGTATCTGCAGGAGGCAGTGTGGCCTACAAGTGAGGCCCATAGCTCAGATACCTGCTCTCATCTCAACTGCCTTTATTGTTGTGGGAAGACACAGTATCGGTAGGAATATAAGGAGAAAGTGACTTTGAGGGGCCAAAGGCCTGGTGTCTTGTCTGATGAAGGGTAGAGGGAGCATACGGATATGGAGGGTGGGAATTATGAAGAACTTGAAATCCTAGGAGAAAAGCTAATCGTGGATTGAACTGTCCCCATTATGACAGAATATGAACTTTGAAGACGTGGCCATTGTCTTCTCTGAGGAGGAGTGGGGGCTCCTTGATGAGGCTCAGAGACTTCTCTACTGCAATGTGATGCTGGAAGTGTTTGCACTTGTCTCATCTGCAGGTAAGACCTTCATGTTTGTCCCAGTGTCCTGAGGTGATGTCTACTCTTCCTTTATTCTTCAAACGTAGCTCTCACCGCCACACCATGGGCTCTAATAATTTCCCCCACTGGCCTTTCAAATGGGCTGTGGCTGCCAGGGGTGAACAGTGTGGGGAGTCCTGAGCTCTGGACTCACCGAGCATCCCTTACACCCGCTGCATCAGAAAATGCAAGAAGTTTCTGGGAGTCAGGAGTCTTGCAATGAGCTTAATGGGACCCACTTTGAACTTTCTCTTCCTGGGAAGGTGACTATGTCCTCATAGCTTCCACTTCTACACCATTCATCCAGGTAAGGCTCATGTGACAGCCTGTGCCAGGTTATCATCTTTACTTACTTGAACCATAGCTGTACTTGTAATATCCTACCTCAATTGTTGTTTGTAATATTTCCTTCCCTGAATACTATTGCAATCCGAATTCCTCTGGGTTAGTGCTGGCTGGCCATCTCCCTTGTATTTCATTCATTCTCTGAATATTTAGTTTGTATGTATTTATAGAGTAGAAGGTGCATGGAGAACCCTGTGTTCTCTCTCAGGGTGAACTGGGAAGATGGTCTCTGATGAGGCCTGATCCTACTGAGTGGAAACGGGGGGAAGGTGTCACATGAGGGCTTTTTTCAGATCATACCAGGAAGCCGCTTGTGTCCAACAATATTTAGGTGCAGGTGCGTTTGTCACCACCTTATTTCTACATTTTATTTACCGTTATTGACATTTTGAAGACTGATCATTTCATCTGTTACTTCATGGCTTTTGTTTAACTTCATGTTTGTCACCTTTTTGCATCCTCTGTCCCTCTGAACTGCTCCCTGTGCAGTATTCTCCTACATGGACCAGCCCATGTGTTATGAGGTGCACATATATGCTTAAGTAGTCCTTGAACCCCTGCTACTGAATTTTACTTGGAATAAAACATAAGCAACCTTCTGCAAGGCTTGCCCATTTCACCAGCATATAAGCCCAGCTGAACACTTTTAGTAGAAGAAGGAGCTGACCATCCTGCTTTGATTCCATGTGGTGCTTGCCATCTTTGTGTCATGTTTCTGGTGAGGCTTTCCTTGTTTTGTGATATTCAGAGTTTCAGAACTTCACAGGAGTCTTTTCCAAATCCTGCTAGCACATCTGTTATTTTCAGACAATTGCATGGATCGCATGTACGATGTGTAACACATTTTTGTAACGGAACTTCCCTCATCACCGTAGTCAACATCCAGTTCCTCCTCATTTCTCTGTTTTCAGGTTGTTGCCATAAAACGGATGATGAGGAGGCCTGTCCTGAGCAGAGCGTATCTGTACAAGGAGAGTCACAGGTCAGGGCATCTAAGACAGAACCAACAACCCAGAGGACCCATGTGTGTAAGCGGTGTTTCTCTGTGTTTAAAGACATTCTGCACCTAACTGAGTCACAGGCAGCGTACCTTGAGCAGAAAGCCTTCTTCAATGACACACGTGTGAGAGACTTCTGTTTCAGTGCAAACCCTCGCCAGCAACAGAGGGAAGCCAGTGGAGAGAAGCCCTGGAAAGAAGCTGTGGACAGGGCCTCGTTTGTGACCAGGTGCAGCTTCTACTTATCAGAGCTGCCTACATCCAAGAGGGAGGTTGGGGAAGACTTGCCAGCCATCTCAGAGCTTCTCCAGCACCAGGCCCTTCTCAACACTGAGGAGCCACACAGTGGCAGTGAGATTTCCCAGAAACTTCTCAGTGGAAAATGTCATAACCAGAGGCGTCAATGTGAAAATGCTGCTAGCAACAACCAGAAAGTTGTTCAACAGAGAGTCTGTTCTGGAGAAGTGGATTATGAATGTACCAAATCCAGAAAAAATTTTAGAGGAATCTCTAGCCTCATTCGACATACGAAATTTCACAGTGGAGAAAAGCCATATGAGTGTAGTGATTGTGGGAAGGCCTTCAGATATAAGACTAACCTCAATCAACACCACAGACTTCACATTGGAGAAAAGCCCTATGTGTGTAGTGAGTGTGGGAAGTCATTCAGGTATATGTCTGTTCTTAATCGGCACCAGAGAGTGCACACTGGGGAAAAGCCATATGAGTGTACTGATTGTGGCAAGACTTTCAGTCTTAGGTACAACCTCACTGAACACCAGAGAGTTCACAGTGGAGAAAAACCTTATGAGTGCAGTGAATGTAGGCAGTCCTTTAGACGAAGGTGTATCCTCACTGAACACCAGAGAGTTCACACTGGAGAAAAACCTTATGAGTGCAGTGAATGTGGGAAATCTTTTAGATATCATGGTCATCTTTTTACTCACAGGAGAATTCACACTGGAGAAAAACCTTATCAGTGTAGTGAATGTGGGCAGTCCTTCAGAAAAACGAGTAACCTTACTGAGCACCAGAGAATTCACACTGGAGAAAAACCTTATGAGTGCATTGAATGTGGGAAGTCCTTTATACAAAGGGGTAACCTCACCGAACACCAGAGAGTTCACACTGAAGAAAAACCTTATGAGTGCAGTGAATGTGGACAGTCCTTCAGTCGAAGGTGTAACCTCATTGAACACCAGAGAGTTCACACTGGAGAAAAACCTTATGAATGCAGTGAATGTGGGAAATCTTTTAGATGCCATAGTCACCTTTTTAAGCACAAGAGAGTTCACACAGGAGAAAGGCCTCATGAGTGTAGTGAATGTGGGAAATCTTTTAGCCAAAAAACTCACCTTTTTAGACACCTGATTGTTCACAACAGAGAAAAGCTTTAAATGTGCACCGAATACTTTCTTTTTCTCATTGACAATAACAACACTGAAGAGGTCTCTTTAAAACACATTTAATGGAATATAAACCCCTTTTATCACAACATGCACTCCCCTAGATTCCTCATGAAATTTCAAGTATAAGTGATGCTTTGAATAACTGCATGGCACTTGCTAAGCTGCTCGGGCCTACTACCCGATTGAAATCACTGGGAGTATTTCTGGCTGCGGCGATTTCACCTCCACCTCCTGGCTCACCTGAACAGGGTGCCTCAGTCACAGCCCCTGCGTGGTCAGGGAAAAGGAATTCTGTGTTCTCACCTCTGCCTGAGCAAACTGTGATTACTCCAAGTTCCTGGCAGGATCTTCATTCCTTTCTGACTAGGAAATGGAGTTATTGAGGGTTCATCCAGTGCTACCATCCTACCTCTCTCAGAGACATCGTGGTTCTCACCTCATGCTGTGGTGAATTGTTTCAGGTTCCTATTCACCAACCTGCAAACCCGTGGAATATTCTAACCCGTCTCTGGTTTATGATTTTTTTGTCCAGGTGCTTTTACTCATGTACTAGTACCTTTCATTTTGTTGGTCTTATGCATTGGCTTGATATGAAAGCACACTTGGGATCTGTCAGCATGAACAGGAGAACAGATATTGTGGGAATCCCCACCCTGCTGTGCTTCTGAAGGCAAAGCGTGGACTCAGAAAATCACTTTATCCAGTATCACTTGTAATGCAGTGCTGCCCAAGACCTCAAAGAAAGCTGGCATGACTTGCTGGTTCTCATCTGCAGCCTGGTGCCTCCTATGATTGAAATCTGAGGTCATCCTGAAGATGAGGGTGGGGGGCTTTGTTGTGATTCTGTGAACAATGTGAATTATATTCTCTGTTCACAGTGTGTATTACATGCTGTCAAGGTGCCCTGTGCCGTTATCAATGACATTTCATAGGCTGGTGTCGGCTGTATTGAGACTCTCAGGGTTAGGTTGAACTACAATTGGGTCAGAAACCCTGTATTCATAGTGAGTGGGAAAGAGTGAAGAGAATTAGGTGAATCGCACCTCTTCTGAACGTTACCCACAAAGGACTAAGGACGTGTGAATTGTGTGGTCATTGTGGACAGGCGTCCTCAGTTCCTCCATCACTGTTTCCTGTGGCTAAAGTCATTTTTTAGAGAAAATAATCTAAAGGGTCTGTGTCCTCTTCTGGCCTCTCTAAGGTGTTCACCTCAAGGTTTGCTCAACAGGCAAGACCTCAAAGCTAGAGGAAGTGTAATCCTGTAGTCAGTCCCAGGATGTGGCATTTGTGACCCAGTCAGCATTCCTGTTGATTCTGATGGCTATAGTTTTCTCTGCTTGCCAATATTTGCTTCCACTGAGGCAAGGCTGGTGCTCCCAGGAAATTAGGAGAGAGATGGTAGAGCCCATATAGGGTTGTCATTTTAATTTTTTAACAAGACACGGATATCTGGGCCTTTATTTGAAAGCACATTTTAAGGTTTTATTTAGGTATATTAGTACTATTTGGTGAGTTTGGACGTAGGGATCAAACTCTAAAATGGTCACATGTCACATAAACTTATCTCTCACCATATAGAGGTTCGGGCAAAACCAGGCATATAGATGTGAATATGCAAAACACAGAGTTGACTCTCTATTTTTCTAAATAAGAATTTTACATATTTAAATATATTTTAACGACTTTTCACAAGGAGAGGAAGGTAGAGAAAGAGAGAGAGAGAGAGAGAGAGAGAGAGAGAGAGAGAGAGAAATGGTGATATTAGAAAGAAACATCAGTTTCCTCCTGCACGTCACCCACAGGGCATCCAGGCAGGCATGTGTTTTGAGCTGGAATGGAACTAGTGACCTTTTAGGGCAACGTATGGTGCTCAAACACCTGAGGCTCACTGGCAGGGAAGAGTTTATTTTTTTTTATTATTTTTAAATTATTGTAATAATTTCCATGCCAACAGCTCTACACCTTCTTGTGCCTCACCCTGTATATACCTCCTGCCCTTTTGGAATCTCTCCTTCTGCCTTCCCCAGCCCTAAATGCAGTCATTGATTTTCCTTCCTTTACAAGATCAGTTAATATTTTCCAATATTTCATAAGCACTATAAGGGGTATACAAATATTGCTTTCCTTCATGCTACATAGTCATTTTGAGATTCAACACGAATGCTTATATGAATGGTCAATTATTTTATATGGCTGAGTCATACTGTGTTCTGTGAATAACCAGTTTAGCTATTGATCTGTCTATGGTTTTAGTTATTTCCAGGTTTGGGATATTAAAAATAAATCTGCTGGGAATAATGCCTTCAGTTCTTTATATAGAGGTATGTTTTACTTACCAAAGTGATGCAGTATAGGCGAATGTTTTACCTGTTAGTATATGCAGAACTGTGTTCTAAAATGGTCATTCCCTTTGGCTTTCCAACCACCCAAAGAAATGAAAATTCTAGTTTTTCCACAACCCTGCCAGCACATGTGATGTTTAATCTTTTTAATAATAGGCCGAGAAATGAGTGTAGTGTTAACTTGCTTTGTTTTAACTCCATTTCCCTAATAAAATTTTTAAAATTTTTTCCCTAATAAATTTTTATGGTGAACGTTTTCTCAAGCAATTCTTTACACTGTCTTTGTCTCCTTTGTTGAAATGTCTGGTCAGAATCTTTTGCCAGTTTTTAAAATGAAATTATTATTTTAACTATAGGTTAGTACAGAATCTAAGATATATTTATTTATTTCACTCAATCCTCAATGACTCAACTGAATTCTTTGCAATGTGAAACTATAAATATTTTTTTAAAAATATTTTTTTTATTGATTTTAGATAGGAAGGAAGAGGGATAGAGAGATAGAAACATCCATGATGAGAAAGAATTATTGATTGCCTGCCTCATGCACGCCCCCTTCTGGGGATCAAACCCTCAACCCAGGCATGTGCCCTTGCTTGGAATCGAACCCAGGACCCTTCAGGCCCCAGGCCGACCCTCTATCCACTGAGCTTAACTGGCTAGGCTTCAACCCCTTAATTCTTTTTTTAAAAAAATATTTTTATTGATTTCAGAGAGGAACGGCGAGAGAGAGAGAGAGAGAGAGAGAGAGAGAGAGAGAGAGAGAGAGAGAAACATAAACGATGAGAGAGAAACATCTATCAGCTGCCTCCTGCACATTCCCCATGTGCCTCTGTTCAGAATCGAACCTGGGACCCTTCCGTCCACAGGCTGACGCTCTATTTACTGAGCCAAACCAGCTAGGGCCCCTTAATTCTTTCTTAAAATTGTAATCGTCATCTGAGGATATGTTTATTGCTTTGAAAGAGAGAGGAAGGGAGGTGCACAGAGAAAAAAAAAGGAACATCCATGTGAGAGGAAACATGGACCGGTTGCCTTCCATAAATGCTGGACAGCAGATCAAACCCACAACCTGGTCTGCGCCCTCACCAGGAACCGAACAGGCCCTTTGATTGAAGTGGGCGAATGAAATGAAGCTGCAAGAGATTGAGTTGCCTGGCCAGGGCAGCACCTGAAATCTTCATGTTTCCTTCAAGACCATGAGTTTTTATGACTCAGCATTTGGGAGAGAGTTTGTTTTGCATGTTGCCTGTTGTTTGTATGTGTGAATTGGCTGTCCCTTTGGGTGTTCCTGATGTGTGAATGTGGGTATTGTGTTCTCTTTGTCTGTGTTCTATGTCCGTGTATGTCTGCTCTGGTTTGTGCACGGGTGTGTCCAGTGTGTGTGTGTGTGTGTGTGTG